AAACGCACACGCACGAAAAAAAGAAGAGTTTTTTTTAGTATACATAACGAAAAGAAAATAATAATAATAATAATGATGATGATGATGATGATGATGATTTCGTGGTTTTAGTCATTTAAAAAAAAAATGTTAACTCTAAAAAACAACATTAATTTTATTATTTTTTTTTTATTACGATGAAAACTTTTTTTTAAACCTTTTCAACATTGTTTTTATTACTTTTATTTATTTATTTATTTTTTACCCGAAAATTTTTCTAAGCATTAATAAAAATAATAATAATAATAATAATAATAATAATAATAATAATAATAATAATAATAATAAATTAACGATTGTATTTAAATTTTTAAAGTTTAAACTTTTTCTTCTTCTAAAAAAAAAAAAAAAAAAAAAAAAAAAAAATTTTAATGTAAAACGTCACGTTTTTTAAATATTTACTTTTTTCCCCCTTTTTTTATTATCATTATTATTTATTTATTTATTTAATAATAAATTAAAATACGTTAATTATAATATTTTAAAAAAAAATCATAAATAAAAAAAAAAAAAATTTTAATTTTTCATAAATAATTTAAAAAAAAAAAAAAAAAAAATTTTTTCTCTCGTTACAACGCCATTATTATTATTATTATTATTATTATTATTTATAATAATTTTAACAACGTTATTATGTACATAAATAAATAATGATGATTTAAATAATGCATTCATTTTCATCGAAATGCGCGCTTTAATTATTAATTAAGTTAATGTTTAATTATTTTTAATTATTAGTGCAATGAATTAAAAAATCAAATCCTTTTATTTATAATTAAGCCATTTTTTTTTCTTTTAATAACAAAATGAAATGATTACGTTTGCACGATATTATTATTATTATTAAGGGACAAAAAATTTTTTTTTTAATACGAAGATGACGACGATAATAATAATAATAATAATAATAATAATGGAAATGTATGCAAATTTGTTATTAAACGTCAGAAAATAAAATTTACTTTACTATGGGCGAAAACTAAAAGTATAAAAAAAAAAAAACGACAGAGAAATGGAGTTCGGATTTGGGAAATCGGAATGAAAACGAAAAAAAAAAAAAATAGAGATGATATGAATGATGCCCTTTATCCGACGAAAGAGAGAGAAAGAGAGAGTGAGAGAGAGAGAGAGAGAGAGAGAGAGTGAGCTGACGTCTATAGAATTTATCAAATAGAAAAAAGGAAGGAAAAGGATTACGTCGGTTGAAAGGAAAGTAATGGCGATGGAACCATTGTACGAGTGGGAAAATGTTTAAATATAACAAAAAGATCAGTAATAATCTTTTATTTTAAAATTTTAATAACCCCTCCCTTCCTCCCCCCCATTAAAATCATTTTTCGAAAAAAAAGGGTCAAAAATTAAATACCGTATCGCCAAATTAATTTTTAAAAAAAAAAAAAAAAAAAAAAAAAAAAAAAAAAAGAGTCCCCGGAAAAAAAGTTTGATGATGAAAAGTTAAAGAAGTTATTAATTTTATCAATAAATGTCAAACGAATATGCTAAGGGTATAAAGTGACGTGGAAGGAGAATAAATGTACGTTATCAGTCCGATATGAAAACGATTAAAAACATAAAAACGGTGACAAGCACATGAAATCAATTTATTAAAACGGGTTGAGGGGGGGGAAGAAAAAAAATTTTTTATTATATGAAATTTTTCGAATTTTTTAAACGTGTCATTAGAAAAATACACCGACCGGAAGTCGATGTTTTTTTTTTTTTTATTATCAATAATCTCGAAATTCATAAAACTTTTTATTTTTTTTTTATTATTTTTTGGGTAAAAGAAAATTTTAAAATTACAATCCTGCCAACTTTAGAAAAAAAAAAAAAATTTTTTTTTTTTTTTTTTATATAAAGAGTCGTCGTTTTGATCGTTGACACTCAAATGATTGTTGTCCTTGTTAACTATTGTCCTTAAATTGTTAAAAGCTTTAGGAAATGACGTCAAGGTTGTACTCAAAGTTAATTGGATTAATACAAAAAACTATCAAATCGAATTTGAATGGCAGAAATAAATAAAAAACACACACACACACACATACACAAACGTCGTTTTATTATTAATTAAACAAACCCTCACAAAAAAATATTTTTAAAAAAAAATTTATTCTGATTCCACGTCGTTTATTTTGAAAATTACGCGTTTTCGCACTTATCTTTTACGCGTTTAACCCGTTAAATTTTCAAACCGTAATTTACACACGTTTCCCATCATTTAAATAATATTTATCTTTAAAACGACTAATAATAATAATGATAATAATAATAATAATAAGAAAAAAAAGGAGGGCGCTGGTGTTCCATGGTTGACAAGCCTTTTTGTCATATCGTTTTCTTTAATTAATTTTAATAGTTTTTTTTTAGGGTTTATTTATAAGTTATATATCAAAAGTTTTGTAATTTAATCTAGTTTACAGTGATATAATTAGTTTTTTAAATTATTTAGTAATAACTGTATTATCTCAAGTTTAAATTTACAAATTGTTCAACGATTCCATGTGACAAAAGGAAGCGTGGGCAGTAAAAAACCTTAGAAGGCACCTTAGTACATATAAGTTAAACGGATAAGTACCTCATTTTAAGACTTAAATTTCAATTGTAAAACGTTAGGCTAACAAAGAAATTGAACACATAACCAAAAAATTTTTTATTTTTATTTTTTTTTATATTTCTTTGGTTAATTATAAGTGATTTGACTATTTATATCTTTATCTTATTTAACAAAATAAGAATTAAAATATTTTTACAATAACATAGGTTGATACATGATTTTTTCAGGGTGTAATTTCTATACCCCTATTGTTAAGTGTTAACTTGTGATTGTATGTTATTTTAGCCTTTGTCTAAGCTAACTTAATTCATTGTAGTAAAGTTTATTAACAATAACATAGTGTAACTAATACCTTTCTTAAATCTGAATCAAATTAGGAAAGAATAGTAGTAGCCTTTATATTAAGTGATATTAGTGTGAAAGGGTACAACAGATTTCTCTTTAACCAGACTTCATTTAATAAATTTTGCATCTTTTGAATTACTTATGAGAGTTAAATATCATTGTCATACTAAATAAGAATAGAGGTAGTTCAATATAAATACTCATTATCTATTGGCTTAATGTAATGTATAGCTGGATATAACATCTCTGTACTCCTGTGTTAATCTACTGATTGTTTTAATACAGAATATTTTGCCATATACTTTATGCAAATCTCCATTTTGATCTACATTAACACTAGCAGAGATAAATTTTTTTTTATACTACTTAATAATAGTACAGAATTGTAATTTGTATGTTGTGCATACAGTTAAGTGTAGTCTATGTAATCTCTTTTATCCTTAAATTAGTTTGTTTTGTTACTGCTTAGTTTATAATCTTGATAGTGTAATATTACCTGTAAATTTGATTCAAGATCAATTAATTAAGTTATAAATAAGTAGCCTTTTAGTATTTGTTTCTAATGTAAAAATTGTGAAAAAGCATTATACATTTGAGGGACCACAACTTAAACAAACCTTATACAACTTAAGTTGAAGTCTAATTGCATATTATAACTAAATAGTCTAGCCAAATATCTCTACCATACTCATTGAAAATAGGGATAGCTTAACAAAATAGGTTAATAAGATAGTTAGTAATATCTGATTTAATATATCAATTGGGTAAAAAATTTGTTCTGTCTAATCCAGTTGTCTGATAACTAGTGTTCTAATTGTATAATATTTAACCTTACATTAAATTGTTTCTGCCTTATTGCAGCATATTTTACATGATTTACAGCAAATTGACTTTTATAAGTATAAGAGACATAAGTGATAAGTTTAATTAAAAATTTTATAATAGTGAACTCTAAATACTGAATTAGAAAATGTTTTGTTATAAAGGTGAATGAATTTATAAATTTATATATAGGTAAAAAGAGCAAAATGAGAACAAGACAAAGTAAGAACCAAAACAAATCTTGTTCTACTGTCGACCTGAGGCAGCTCGACGAGAATGTGAATTTCACTGCTTCTGACCCTGGCCACTCCAACGATGTTAGTCACCGGAGCCCAGTTCAGGAGACAACTCGTTCCCATCGAATAAGATGGACTCAGGAAGACCTTCAAGAATTGATGTGGTGCTATTTTTACTCTCAAAAATTTGGTTCAGGATCGGAAAGTGACACCTTTAAATCTGGAGAGGGAGAAACCCAAACAGCAGAAGGACATGACATCGAAGAAGTTGGCTGCCCAAAGAGATATATATAAAAGCACAAAAATTGAAATGATAA